CCTCACTGACATGGCACCTGCCAATGATCCCAGAAGGCATGTGACTTTCTATCTCATCCTGGCTGTGATTTTGGTGTCAGCAGCTTTCTTCATCACCATGTTGTCAGTGGGCATCTTCAAGTGCTACAAGTGGAGGCAGTCAAAAGAGCTGTTAAACAGCTCCAGGAGCACCCTGTACAGGACACCAGGGCCTTTCCACCACATTGATGCTGTGCGGGGTGGCTTCACACCACCCAACTTCTACCACCAGGTCTATCTCACCACGGACTCTCGCCAGAGTGATCTCCTGTGTAAAAAGCCCTTCACTTCCAGCCCCCTGGGGAGCCGCCAGAGCACCATGAGGAATGGTGAGCCAGGGCTGTACCACCAGATCGTGGGCACCACCAGCCGGCTCCCCACCCCTGCCGAGGTAATGTAGCTCCTTCCTTGGCATATCTCAGTACCGGGCAGAGCCATGGTTCATTCGTGCCATACGCAGATGGTAGCGCATTGGGGTTGGGGGGAATATCCAGTCGCGCCGTGCCTCTAAAGAGTGGTTAGCTATAGCTGAACTGGTCTCCTTCAGAGTCATATGAGCCGTCCTGAGTATTAATGACATTTGCACTGTGGTGAGCAGCGTCAAGAGAGTCCGTTTTCTCAGGTTAGCAAACATATGTCTTTCGGATGCAGTTTTGGGTACGCCTTGCGTGAGCAACCAGCAAAAGCTGAGGTCATCTTGCAACCACTTGCAAATCCTTGGCAGAAAGTTTGCTAATGGTATTTCCTTCCCTTTGCAAAATGAGAGCCGAGGGGGGCACTTGCAGGGTCAGACACTGGGACGGGAACACAGCCTCTCTGCGTCGTGCCCTGGTGTGGGCTGCGGAGGTGGTGGTGCAAGTGGGGCTGGGAGCCACCAGCTGCCAGTGGGGGATCGGGGCGTCGCTTCCTACAGTGTAGCATGCAAAGCTGAAGGATGCTGCTGGTTCCTCCGTTTGATAGACCGTGGCCACAGAGCAGTCCCTCCCATCCGTGTTTCACTTCATGTTTGACTCCTGATGGTTTCAGTTTTGTTTCCATGGAAGTTTTTTGATGATGTTCGCTTCGGGGTGGGGGGGTGGGATTGCAGACTACTCCAGCCACTTGCAGGACTCCGCTGAGCTGGACTGTGGCTCTGAGCAGGATGGGGAGTCCTCCACGCAGGTGTTGTTTTAACAATCCTATTACAAGCCCTGAACCATTTGTAACATGCTATCTCCAGGTGATGTCTAATGTCCTGACTGAACAAACTGCAGACAGGAAGGCATTTACGCATGGCAGGCAGCTTCTGTTCTTCTTCCCCGGTGGGAATTGTGCAGCTTAATTTGAGAGCTTTCAATTACAGGAACGCTTCGATCCTCAGAGGTGAGGCCAGGCAGTGGATCCAGCAGAGGCCAGGGGGGGATCTGATGGATTTCCAAGGTGCTGGGTGCCAGTAATGTGTCCCTTCCTGGGAGGCTGTGACTAGGAGCGACCGGTTCCTCGGAGCTGAAGGAAGTGAGGTGCAGCGGAAGCTGTGCATGGGTGTGGGGCTGCGTGTGCCGCCTGCTCACTGCGGCTGAATCACAGGCAGAGGCAGAAACCTCCCAGAATTATTTTATGCCTTTTTTTTTTTTTTCCTCTTGCGTCACTGCTCAGACTCAGCACTTCTGATTTGTGGCAGGTGGGAACGGCTGCAGCAGCTGCAGGAGCAAGTGTTCCTCTGTATTGTGTGGGTCATGCTACAGCTGGGGACAAGGATGTCCCCTCTACCAAAGGGTCCTGGCAAGATGCCTCTGGGGGTGGGGGCAGTACATGGTTTGAGAGTGGGTATGGAAGGTGATAATGGGCAGGCAGTAAGCCCGAGCCCTAGCCATGTCTCCCCCCTGCTCCCCAGTACTATACTGGAAAGGCACTGGCAGTGAAAAACCAGCTGGGCTGGCTCTGGGCCCTGGATTTTCAGTCTTTGTGGTCAAAGAAGATCCAGCCCAATGCCACGGACTGTGTTAAGCCTGCAAAGGCTTCACACCTCTTTGCTCTGCAGGGCAACAGCCAGACCCCAAAACCGATGCAGTGGGGATGGTGCTGGCCCCATCTGTGGCAGGTGGTGTGTCCTGCCATGAGAGATCCTGCCCTGCAGGATCTCTCAGCTCTCTGGGTCACCTTTCCACAGGGTGAGCTCTGGCCCTCTGGAATGGGGACATCTCTTTCTCCATCCTAGACACCCCATACCCTTCCTGCCTTGTCACCATCCCCATCCCGGGCTTTGGCAGACCCAAACAACAGCAGGATCCCCTGTGTGAAGCCCGTCCCTTGCTCCAGCCCCTTGGTGACAGAGCCACCTTGGGACACTGCATGGATTCTCCCAGACCATGTGGGCTTCACAGGGGGCTTCTGCTGAGGCACCACAGCACAGCAGCACCAAACCCATTCTCAGGGGCGCAGCACCCCGTGTTGCCAGCGGCAATGTCTGTCACCCAGCTGTGCTGTCTGGGGCCCTGCCTGAGACCGGGACAGGGCACATCCCAGAGACAAGGTTACTGTGACAGCTTCCTGCTGGTGGCACCGTTGAAAGCCTCAGGGAATGAGTACGTCCAAACAGGTATCGGTCTCTGGACGCGGCGGAATCCGCTTGTCTAGCATTTTTCTGGGTTGGCCCTTTAAGGATGCCTTCTCCCCTCCCCCGGAGCAGGCAGTAGGTGGGACCCGGGCGGTGTTCTGCACCAATCGTGAGGTTCCTTGCTCCGTCTCTCCCTGACAGGCAGCAGGGTGGTCCCGCCCTATGGCTCTTGGAACGGGCAGGGAAGGGCTGCAGAGGGGATGGAGGCCCCTCGATGACAGCACCTCCACCATCTCTGCCCTTGCCCAGAAAGACAGTGTCCCTGTCACCATCCACCCTGCCAGGCACAGGTGCCCCCAGCCTTTCTCACCTATTCCCCCAGGTCCCCTTGGTGCCCGGGTGGTGGGGATGAGCAGGGTCCCCAGCAGGAGCTGGCTCCCCTGCCTGCCACGCCACTGTGGACCCCAGCCCTGGAGGGTCTGCATGCACCCAAGGGAGGTCAAGGTGGCTTTGACTGCGCCGAGGCCAGGACTCCAGGGCATGACTGCACGAGGCTTCTGCAGGGATGTGAACTGAGTTAACACCATGCAGTTTGCCACCATCCTTTGGGACAGGGAGAGGGCGAAATGACTGTTCCGCTTCCCCCTGGGGAGGCTGAGACCCCTGCTTTTGCCCTCCAGGAGAACGCTTGGCCGCAAAGCCGTGTCTGCTGCAGAATTTCAGTACGTGTGTCTGCCAGGGGGGAGGCTCAGGCCTCCTTCCCAGTCGGACGTCCTGACCTGATGTTGTGATTGGTGGTGGTCTAGTGGGCTTGTTGGCTGGCTCCGTGCGTTTGCAGCGACTCGGGTACTGTGAAGGTTGACCCCTTCCTTGTCTCAGGGTGGGGAAGGGGCGTCCAGCTGGGTGTGTGTGGGGAGCAATTGCATTCCAGCTTTGAATGGATCTCCCACCTCTGCCTTCCCATCTTCTGCCTCCAACACCCACGGGGGGCTGGCAGGGGTGGGCATCCCTGTCTCAGCGCGAGCTCTCCTGGCTGATGGTGGCACTGGTGGCAGTGATGCCTCACTTACAGAGGCAATCCTGGGGTCCGGGCAGCAGCCAAAGCATTAGCTGGGGGGGAGAAAAGGGGTGGGAGAAGAGCCCCTGGCACCTCAGGGCTCTAACAAGCACCTTTTCATCGGGCATGAAAAGTCCTTTGGCCTGCGTTCATGACAGCTGCCCTTTGTCTCTGGGCATGATGTGAAGCCACCATTGTGGAAGGGGGAGCGCACAGGGAGGGCTTGTACCTAGCTTCCAGGCTGCCAGGACGTGCAGTTTCCCTGCGAACGGGAAGCGAGCTGTCGGAGCAAGTGACTCAGACTGGCGGAGGGGAGGCCGGGGGTGGCAGCCCCGCTGATGCCGGCTCAGGCCCCTGCCTCCCGCACCTCCGGGGAGCCACCGCTGGCTGAGAGGGGACGGAGCTCTCGGCCAATTGGGCACTGATCTGAAGCGGGGGGGGGAAATCTGCTTCTTCCCCCCCCTTTCCACCTCCGCCCCGGGGGTTGGATGCAGCTCCCCTCAACCACCGACAGCCGGAGCCGCAGCTTGCCGGAGCCCCGGAGCTGTTTTCCAAGCCGTTGGAAGAGAGACCCAGGGATTTTTTTCGCAGCTCCCTAGCGCCTGCTGCGTCCTGGGCCGGACGCGCACAGACATGGAGAGCGTCAGCCTCCAGCGACCCGCCTGGAAATGGCAAGTACTGAGTTTGTTTTTGCTCTGCGGCTGGGGCTGGGTCTCCGGGCAGATCCGCTACTCGGTGGTTGAGGAGTCGGAGGTGGGAACCGTGGTGGGGAATGTGGCCCGGGACCTGGGCTTGAAGGTGGAGGAGCTGCCGGGTCGCAGGCTGCGCCTGGGCTCAGAGGAGAGCCTGCGCCACTTCACCGTGCGCCTGGACAGCGGCGCACTGGTGGTGAGCCAGCAGCTGGACCGGGAGCGTCTGTGCGGAGCAGCTGCCAGCTGCGTGCTGTCAGTGCAGGTGGTGACAGAGAACCCCCTGCAGCTCTTCCGCCTGGAAGTGGAGATCCTGGACCTGAATGACAACTCCCCAAGCTTCCCCACCGCTCACCGCACGCTGCGCGTTGCCGAGTCTGCCACAGTGGCTGCGCGCTTCCCCCTGGAGAGCGCGCAGGACCCTGATGTGGGCACCAATGCCGTGGGCTCCTACCGGCTGAGCCCCAACTCCCACTTCTCCCTGGATGTCAAGCAGCAGCAGGATGGCAAACTGTTCCCGGAGCTGGTGCTGGAGCATGCCCTGGACCGGGAAGAGCAGCCAGAACTGCAGCTGGTGGTGACGGCCATAGACGGGGGAAGCCCAGCCCGCTCAGGCACGGCGCAGATAACAGTCCTGGTCCTGGATGTCAATGACAATGCGCCCACTTTTGACCACACCACGTACAAAGTGCAAGTCCCGGAAAACACACCTGTGGGGGCCCTGCTCCTCCGGCTTAATGCGTCTGACCCCGATGAGGGCCCCAATGGGGAGACGCAGTACTCCTTTGGGGTTCACACCTCCGACTCAGTCCGGAGGCTCTTCGCCCTGGATCCCCGCAGTGGCGAGGTCCGGGTGAGTGGGGCCCTGGACTTCGAGGAATCACCTTTCTATGAGATCTACATGCGAGCCCATGACAGAGGGGTCCCAGAGATGGAGGGCCACTGCATACTGCAGGTGGAAGTGGAGGATGCCAATGACAACCCCCCAGAGGTGTTAAAAAAAGGTGCCGGAAGACACCCCACTGGAGACTGTCGTGGGGCTCTTCAATGTACGGGACCGAGACTCGGGGGCCAATGGGGATGTGAGCTTGGAGATCTCTCCCAATGTACCTTTCGCCATCAGGTCTCTTCAGAACCACTTCTCCCTCATCACCCGGGAGAGCCTGGACCGAGAGTCCACCTCACAGTATGTAGTGGAGCTGATCGCCCAAGATGGTGGGTCTCCCGCCCTCACCACAACGCTCACGCTGCTCCTCAACATATCTGATGTGAATGACAACCCCCCGCACTTCTTGCAGCCCTCCTACGATGCCTTCCTCCCAGAGAACAACCCACCTGGCTCCCTGCTGTGCACTGTCTCTGCCTCAGACCCCGACGATGGGGATAATTCCCGTCTCGTTTACTCCATAGAGAGTGGCCAAGTGCAGGGTGCCCCCACCTCTTCCTTCATCCACATCAACCCTGACAATGGCAACCTCTACGCTCAGCGCACCTTTGACTTCGAGCTGCTGCAGGTTCTGCCGGTCTCTGTGACCGTGCGGGACTCGGGGTCCCCCCCGCTCCGTGCCAATGTTACCGTCTACATCTTTGTGCTGGACCAGAATGACCACCCCCCCACCATCTTGCACCCTGCCAGTGACAGCGACGTCCCGGCACTCCAGAGGGTCCCGCTGTCTGCCCCACCAGGCTACCTGGTCACCAAGGTGACAGCAGTGGACGCGGATGCCGGGCACAATGCCCGGCTCTCATCCCAACTGCTGCCGCAGTCCACCGACCCCTCCTTGTTCCATGTGTCGCTGTACACCGGGGAGGTGCGGACGGCACGTGCCCTCCAGGACACTGACGTGGCAGCACAGCAGCTCATTGTCCAGGTGACGGACAACGGTGACCCACCGCTCTCCACCACTGTCACCCTCACCGTGGCCCTGGAGGAGGCGGCCCTGGAGGAGACCTACAAGCCTCGGGATTTCCTGGCTGGTGCCAAGGAGAAGCCGGACCTGACCCTCTACCTGATCATCGCGCTGGCAGCCGTTAGCACTGTGGTGCTCGCCACCGTCACCCTCCTGGCTGCCCGGTGCCTCCGGCGCAGAGGCCGTGCTGCCGCCTCGCCCTGCTGCTGCTGCTGGCTCAGCGAGTCGCCCTCCCGGGACTTCTTCAAGCACTCCAGCCCCAAGCTCCAGCTCAGCTCCGACGGCACCCTTAAGTACATGGAGGTCACCCTGCGACCCACCGACTCCCAGTCCCAGTGCTACAGCACCTGCTTCTCCCCCGGCTCCGACCGGAGCGACTTCACCTTCCTGCGGCC